TACTGACTGGACTTCAAAATTGGCTCTTATTATATTGTCTTCTTGTATCAGAGACTTCATCAAAAATATGAATGGCTCATCTAAATTCTATAATTTAAAATATCACTTGCCTTAGGTTTGAAGCCCAAAACTCGGTTGAGCTTTATAATGATGCACGGTTTGCCCTCTTTGTAGCCGTAATTTTCATCATTTATTCCAGAACAATTTCCCAACCAGTCAAGCTTGAATCTGCAGACCTTCCGCTCTCCTCGTTCGTGGTTAAACTCTCCTCGTTCTTTGGGTTCACTGGGCACATCTAAAAATACAAACACCATTTTTAGGTTGTATCAGCAATTCCCTTAGCACTGCTGAGAAAGGAAAAGGAACTTTCTTTCTTGTCACAATTACCTAGGATAAGACAGGACTGTTCTGCATTTAATGCATGGTCCGAAACAAGCAAGCTTTTCCAGCAAGCCCTCTCTTCTTGACTGACACTAAAGAGAGATTTTACCAAAAGCAACAGCTGGTACACCACCCCACGCCAAAGCTTCATAATACTTGATCAGCACATGATATTTGGTCTCTGGCAATATTTCTCTTCCTTTAAATAATAGATTACTCAGCTATTTAGAAGACTGAAAGGAAACTGGATCATGCTGCGTAAGTAGCATCATTTACACAGGTTAACATTGGCTGAGCTCTGCAACAGGGATATTATAATTCGAACACAAATGAAAAGGACTGTCAATGTTCAGAACTAAAAGGTTTTTCCTGGAGCTAAGCCTCTAATTAGCATGTTAAACAGTAAAGAAGGAATAGGAAATAACTTTCCTTTTCAACCACCCTTCTAGTTTTTAAGAAAAAAAAAATCTGATTTGAGTTTTTGCCTTTTAAAGCTATGACTTCTTATAAGCATTTGTTCAACTGAGAAATTTTATTCTAGCATTTTTAATTCATACCTCATATAAAAGCCAGAGAAAGACTAAAGGAATATAGAATTCAAAGTTAACACATAGCATCTGCAGGAAAATGATGCAAATACCACCATTTATATATGTTAAGTTTGCAAATTAACTATTTTCCCTTCGAATGGTAAAGTGTCTCAATTTAATCCATCTCCTGTGAAGTGATTCACCCTGGTTATTATTCGGGCCTTTTTAATTACTGCAAAGTAAGACGAAAACCTCATTTAAATTCTAATGAGAAAAATTCACAGTGGAAGTGATTCTTTTAAATTACTAAATCTTTCCAAAATTACTTAAATGGCAATCCACCCCATTCTCTGACCAAACCACAGTCTGCCTTGCGAAGAACTGGCGTTGGTAAGTGCTGGAATTGAATCAGAAGGGATAACTAACTTGGAGCCTTTTTTGGGGGCAGGCATGAGAACGTGAGCTGGGAAATCCACACTCAAGGTATCAAAGAGGAGGACGGGGGCAATGACTTAATGAAACTAAGAGCCACTCTTTACCCTTCAAAAGTCATTTTCTTATCCACAATGATCAGCTGCTTAAGACATATTTCGTTATTGAACCCAACATGAATCTATAAAGTCTACTGTGACCATAAATCCTCCTCCGTCAATATCAGTGTGGTGACAGTTAATCACACCAAAGGGTCATCGTGCTGGAGGAAGGCCTGTGCACTCTTCAGGAGGAGAACTTTTGCGCGGAGAATATGGAAATAAGCAGTTGTACTTTCCAATGGGTGTAAGAGAAACAAAAGTGGCTGTGGTCTTTTGAGTCCGAATAGTAAAAAGCAGACATGTCTAGACGTGATTTAAAGGAAGACACCTTTCAAATGCAGAAAATAATAATACTTGAGGCTACATTGTTTCTGTCACTGCATCCTCCTGCTTTTAAAAAAAAGTGTCTTCAATACGGCAGGGGTCGATCTTTCATTATTTCGGCATTCTCTCTCAATCATTAAATAAAAAATAATAATGGGAAATAAGAATTAAAGAAAAAGAAAACTAACCATGAACATCTACAATGAGTATACTTACTGCCACAGTCTTCAAAAATCATGTCATCTTTCTGGGCTGAATCTTTGTACTTTTCCAGAAACCTAACTATGTTTAGTACATATGCCTCATAGCTCTTGGGATCACTAGGACGAAAGGAAATTTCAGTCTTTTGGATCTGAGGAACCTGTGTTAATCCTAGACCAGGAAGAGAGAGAAAAACAGAGAAAATCGTTAGTGGGAAGGCAGTCAACCAAGATAATTCAAAAGCAGACCTTCTTTATACAAAACAGACTTTGCTAACCCCACCTGGCTAAAAAGAATGGGTTAAATTCTTGCCTCCCTTGTGAAATCACTCCTCTGGCATTTAGATCAAGTACCAAAGAATACGCCTTAATATCAGATATCATTTAATTTCCCTAGCAACGACACTTCATGATAGGCATCATCTCCATTTTATGAATGGAAACACTGCTTGCACTGAAAGGTTAAGAACCTGGCCTAAGGTCACAGAGAAAGCGGTGGAACCAGAATTCCAAGCCAGGTGTGCTGTACTCCAAAGCCTGTTATGTTTCTAGTACCCTCATGCGCACACATTCTTTAAAAATGCAAGCCAGCTAGCACTGTGTGCAGGGGGCTTGCCCCTCCCTAAGTGCATGTGAGCGCTGGGCACAGCGGCCTTCCAAACTCCCTAGACTCAAGACTACCTAATGGAGATATTTCTTTAGATCTTTTAACCTCAGTTGGATCTTTCAACCTAAACTGGAAGAATCTAGGGCATATGTGCAGTTACCACTCCTGCTTTCCAGCCCAGAAGTCTGAGCATGTCAACGCCAGTCAGATAAAATTCAAAGTATGTGCGCCTCGGATCTGCACGAACTAGTTTATTAGGTTCTTTCATATCCGAAAGCCTTGCCTTCGTAGGACTTCCTAGACGTTTACCTGCACAACACTACACAGCACTATTCAGAGGCAATGGCTGGAGAGTCCATCGCAACTGTATTTTATTCTAGGACTGCCAGATAAAACACAAGATGCCCGGTTAAATAAGAATTTCCGATAAACAATGAATAATCTGTAGTATAACTATGTCCCAAGTGCTACATGAGAAATACTTACACTAAAACATTATTCGTTGTTTATCTGAAATTCAAATTTACCTGGGCAACCTGTATTTTTATTTGCTAAATCTGGCAACCTGATTCGACTCCCCCAGTCCCAGATCAGCCCTGTTTCTGCTGGGCCCCAAGGAGGCTCTTCATCACAGTCCTTGACTGATGGCTCTGCCCTGGCCTCCCACCGCCGCCTCCCCCAGCGCGGCACTCAGGGGCTTCTGAAACACGCAGCCTTGCAGGCGCCACTCCAGACCTACCATACCCTGATCTCTAGAGATGGGACTCGAGGACCACTAAGCACCGTCGGTTTAGAACCACTGCTCTGGGGAATGAGAATTTGAGAGTGGCGACAGTGACGCAGATACGAAGACAGTGACGTAACTAAAGTGGAAGTGGGAACTATTTATATTAACTATTTAGCGGCACCGTTTGTGGGGCCTGAGAACCAGGCTTCAGTACGGCTGGACTAAACGCTGTTATTTTTTCTAGCAACGGAGGAAGGCTCTGAAGCTTTGAGGCGGTCAGATAACGAGGTGGGCTTAGGGAGCCGTATGGGATGGACAAGAAGACAAGGAACAGCTGGAGCGAGGCAGAAGCCTGCCCAAGACAAATGACTTCAGGAGTGACATTGAGAATCATCTCACAAAGGATGACGTAGAACCTGAATAACTTAGGGGAAAAAAAATTCACTGTCAACAGTGATGGGAATGAGTCAAAGGGGAAGTAGCAGACTTTGCTCATAAAAATACCTTCGGTTTAAAATAAAGGTTACTGCAATTGAAAAAAAAATTTTTTTAAAGCTCATAGAAAATTACTTGTATGTCTAAAGCAATTTAAATATACCCTGAACAATCTTTTTCTAACTTGAATTAGAAAATTGGCATTGTAATCATTCATAGTACAAAGAAGCAATATAGTAAAAGCAATAGATACCTGCAAAAATAAAATAAAGGTGAATATAAGGCCTCTGCTGAAATGCAATGCTTGAGACAGCAATGGCAAGTAGTGAAATGGGGCAGGCTGGCTGGTCTGAGTTGTAAAAAAGACATGCAGGTCAGGGTGAGTTGCCTGGACCTGGGGGAACTGCAGAGGCAGGTCCAGAGCCAGAGGCCCAACAATACTTAGGAGAATGGGGTGTTTTCCTGGAATAATCTTGGAATCAGAAGGGAGTGGAGCCTTAAGGGACAGTCACACCCGAGGGGCCACTGCAAGGGCCTGAGCACAGGCAGCCAGAGAGATGAGAGGAAAATGCCTTTGAATGTGTCAGGCGGGAGGTTCGCCAGAACCTCTTCCAGATCAAATGTAGGAACCAAGGAGTGGCCCCATCTAACCGTGAGGAAGGTGGGAGGGGGAGAACTGCGCTGAAGGGACATGGGGTGATAAGTAACAATTACGCAAACTGTGGCCCGCCAGCAGACTGGCTGATACAGCAAAAACCAGAATGCTAACAGAATGTATACGAGCCTGGTGTGAGACTTGGAGAGTATCACCCAACAAACTGAAAAGAAAGTAGCCCTAGAAGGTCATGCTGAGAGTAGACATGGTAGGACCCAGATTGCAAAGTATGTGTCAGTCATTGTCCCCTTTGGCCTGGCATCAGCTGGCCTTCCTAGCAGTTTGTGTCTGGCTTTCTGGCTACCTCTGGATTGCTCTTCCAGTTGCTAAAGGTTCCATTTCCTTGATGAGTGCATAAGGAACAGTGATGCTACTTCTCAGAGTCTTGCAGCGGAAAAAGAAAAGGAGAGGCCAAGAACGGTGGCTCATTCCTATAATCCTAGCACTTTGGGAGGCCGAGGTGGGAGGGGGTTGCTTGAGGCTAGCAGTTTGAGAGCAGCCTGGCAACACAGTGAGACTCCATCTCTACAAAAGTCAGTCGGGTGTGGTGGCGAACGCCTGCAGTCCCAGCTACTGGAGAGGCTGAGGCAGGAGGATTGCCTGAGCCCACGAGTTCAAGGCTGCAGTGAGCTATGACGTACGACAATGCCACTGTACTCCAGCTTGGGCAACAGAGCGAGACTATGTCTCAAAAAGAAAAAGGACAGAAAGAAGAGAAGGAGGAATTACGCGGAATGTTTTCCAATCCAAGTCTACAGTTTCCACTATTAAAAGTGACCAGGTGACACCAAAGCACCGGCAATTCTCACTCAGTCCTCTGGGCTCTTTACTAACAAAATAACCCTGCTAGTGCATTCTGCAGGAGCCTAGGAGCCATGGTCAAAACTGAGTTCATGTTCACCCAGATACCTACACTAACCCTTCTCGTTCGCCAGCACCTGTGTTGTTAACATCATCTACGATCTGATTTGTGGGGACAGTAGGTATCACTGTTACATGCAGTGGTACCACTGGCCCAGAAACGAGTGACACAATTGGTCTCGTATCTTTCTAGATAGGGCAAATGAGGAATAATGAAAACCAGTCATGGAATCGTACCACTTTCTACCTGAAAGTCCCAATCCTTCAGTAAGCACAGCTCACGATCTAAGCCCTGTCAAGTGTATACACCATGTGAAGAAACGCAGGTCAAGGGTGCTTAAAGAATCTTGACTTTGTTCTTTACAGAGAAGCATCAGAAACTGATGAAACCAAGAATACGCTGGACAGTTAAGCACTGGGTCTTAGGCTCTTGTGACTTGCCCAGCAGGATTAGACCCTGGACCAAAGTCTCCGCCTGTCCTTTCTACTTGAAGTGATGCAGAACGTTGGCAGAAGGAGCCAAGGAATGACAGACGATCCCCGGGAAGCTCGGCTGTGTCTTACTCTCTCCCGAGGGGCAACATTTCCCTCTCTAGAGTCTCTGAGGGGGTCTCAGAAGGTGGTAACTAACATAAGCCTTCGTGGCCATTCCTATAAGATACCCAACTTCTGATCCAAATGTTGTTTCCAGAAAAGCAGCATAAATGGTTTGGGTTTAGGTCACGTAATCAGCTCTTTTGAAGATTTCCCCAGGGAGCGCAAACACACCTACATATATGCATATACATAAATAGAAGTCCAGGAGGCCACCCCACGGTCAGGCGGCCATGGCTTCCTTGACAGATCTTCTGCTCTCCTTCCTCCCGTTTCTCTGAGGTCTCTCACTGTCATCCACTACCTCTGCCTCCTCTCTTTTCTTCCAGAGCATGACGGGCCCAAGAATTCCTCCTCCTAGAAACCACCACAGATCAGCCCCCTGGCCTGTTCTGTTCTGGAGAGTTCTCTGATGAGATCTTCTCCAAACCATTAGGAAAATTCGTCTTCTCAACAGTTATTTCTCTAAAGCAATTCGATACTCACAAGAGGTAGAAGGTCCTTTGAAAAGATGTACAAATCCTTTAAATAATTTACTATACGTTTATCAGACTACTGCTAAGAAGAGATAGAAAATAAGAGATCAGATTTCGCAACTCCTTTATTACAGCTGGTCCCTGATTTATAACATTTGCCTTATTATGATTTTTCGACTTTATGATAGGTCTACTGGGGTATTAAATGCATTTCTGACTTACAAACTTACAATGGGTTATCAGGACGTAGCCCCATGGGAAGTCCAGCAGCGTCTGTATTTTGAGTCCACAGGCAAATTCCCCGACCATGACATTCTCCAAAGGCTGCACAAACCCCTCCGCTGACCACGGTTCTTGTCAGCCGTGTCCGCGCTAATGGATACTTTCTGCTTGTCCCTCTTCCCACTGCCCACTCCCCTTCAAGCTGTTAGTTACAACTTTGGACAAGGATGAGCTTTGTTTGCAGTAATAACTCTCTGAGGCCAAAGACAGAGGAACATCCAATCACTGGCTTATGGTTTCAAATTATATTCCAGGAAACAAATCTAACCTTTTGCCTGGCCAGTCTTCTGAACTTGAATTTACATCAACCAAGCCAAGCACTAGACAACCTCATTCTGATACGACCATTTGCCTGGAACTACACACAATTATTTAGTAAAGCCACCTAGAAGGATTGAAGTAACAACTTGGGTATGTGATATTTGATTTTTAAATAGGTGTTCCAACTTGACATAAGATTTGGAGTCTAAAAACAGAAAAAAAAAAATGACCTTGGCTTTACAATTGCTTTTAGAGACATCTTAGCCTTTCCTTG